AAAAATTAAAATTTAAATATCTCAAAATTAATAAATATCTTATCCATTGACATCTTTAAATTCTACTTTTCCTTGCCAAAACGAGTCCATTTCATAGTACCAAAAACACAATAAGTTGGCTGTCATAAAAAAAAAAAGAGTTTATTTTGGGAAAAAGAAACAGGAAATAAATAAAAGAAACCTTTTTTTTTTTAATCTTAAAATTCTCCAAATGCTAATTGAAGCAAGTTCTCCAAATGCCAAAAGTTTGTCGTTCCAAGTGTAATATGCCCCTTCGCTCTCCCTTAACAAGGTTTCGACACTGAAAAGGCACTGTCTTTTATCGCTCTCTTTGAGCCATACCGAGCCAATCAACAAACAGAAGCCAGCCAAAGCATGGCCTCGCCAACGGATTCCCCGCACCAGCAACACCACAGCAACCTCACCAACTTCCTCCAGACCACCACCACGTCTATCTTCTCTCTCCTCTCCTCTCCCAAAACGACGCCGCACCTTCCCCCTTCCAAAATCTCCACTCCTTTCCTATTCGCCGACGCTCCCCTCCACCTGTCTCCCTCGCCCTTCGAGTCAACTCAGCCCGACTCCGTCTCTTCTAAATCCGCAATCAAGGGCGTCTCTTCAGCCGAGTCAAGCTCCGGCTTCCCCTCAACGGTCAGGATTGCGGGACTCACTTCCAGTGGCAAGGCTGGTGGCCCCGCGTTCGTGGGCCAAGTCTTTAGCATGTGCGATCTTTCAGGGACCGGTCTTATGGCGGTTTCAACTCACTTCGATATTCCCTTCATTTCCAAGAGGTCTTCACTCTAATTAATCTGTTTTTTGTTTTGAAGTTAATAGAATTTGACCAATTCTCTCAAAAATAGTACAGGTTTGTCTCAATGAAATTATTTTTTTTAAACGAATGATATGAATTTCGGATGTTGTTTTTAAATTTGAGCCTTTGTTAAGTAAATGCTTATAAGATATTGGTTCTGTTCAATACAAATTGAAAGCATTTTATCTCTATTGATGTATAGAACACCGGAGTGGCTTAAGAAGATATTTGCAAACATTACTAAGAGCGAAAGGAATGGCCCTGTTTTCCGTTTTTTCATGGATTTAGGTGATGCAGGTATGAATTTTTGCCGCTTCGCCATCAGTTTGGTCAAGCTTCTTTTGGTTGCAAATAACTTGCAGTCTAACATAATGTATTATTGTTTAGTTACGTATGTCAAACACCTCAATATTCCCAGCGGCGTCGTGGGCGCTTGTCGTCTTGATTTGGCATATGAGCATTTCAAGGTAATGCTAAATTGATTCAACTGGAGCCCCTTCATGTATATTGGATGTGAATTGTTGCTGGATTCAGGGGCGGAGCCTCCTCTAGGTACGGGGACAGCCCCAAATTTTATTTTTTTTAATTTTTTTATATCATATAAAATTTTTAAAATTTTTACTATATTCCTCAAAATAGTTTTTATTTAATAATTAATACAAATAAAAAATAACAAAAAATATCCCACATGCCTCACTCAACTTTAAATTTTTTTTAATATATATTATTATTTTTATTTATATTTGTTTATTTTTTTCATTTCTATTCTATTTGCTCATATAGCCTAAGTTTCTATAGATTTTCTTTTCTAAATTTCTAAGAGTCATCAACCATATTCTTTTTTATTTTATTTTTTGTTATGTCGTATGTGGGTTTTACCTTCTACTTGTCATGTTTTTCTTTTTTCAGTTATGTGAATTTTATTTTTTATAATTTTAATTTTTAAAATTAATAAATTATTATGTAATTCTCAAATATAAGTTGTAGTGTTGTACTATTGTTTAAAATTTCATCAATGTATCAATTTTTTTTATTATTCCTGATTATGTAAGAGAAAATTATCTTGATATATCTTTTTTATTTGCTTTGCGTTTTATATTTAATTGAAAAGAAATTATCTTGAATATATAGTTTTTAAACAATCTCGATTATATAAGAGGAAATTATTAATCTTATATGTCCTATTTAATTATTTATATTTTATGTATTATAGTTTTATATTTAGTATTATAAGTTTAAATAAAAATAAAATAAGAATATTAGATGTTTACAACATTAATTTTTTTTTAAGTTTGATTAAAGTATGAGTAAGTTGGAAACAATTGTCAAATTTTTTAAAAGAAAATATACAAATCATTCTTATATTCTCCTACACTTGAGCCACTAAGCCTCAATGCTTCAACTCAGGAACAAAAGCAATGTGAATCAAAATATCCAAGACTCAATCCCAAAGAAATGGATGTTTTTCAATACGTAATTAATAGTTGATGAATTTGAATTTAGAAAATATG